TTGAAAGATACAAGAGGAGGTTTTGCTGACAGGATTTGCTAAATGGCGTTGCATTTAGCCTTTCAACAGTTTCATGTCCTCTTTATGTCTGCTCACCCTCTGCAAGGAACCCACGGCACCAAAACGCGGCGACAAGCACGCAAACAGACGACACAAGAAACACTTAGGGAGAGGTAAACTGACGCGGTGTTGCTCCTGGGATGGTGAAGGGACTGAGGGGGAGGGGAACATGTACACACTCCAAGGGCACATAATGTATATAAGTAAAGAGGAAGTACGACTGTCACATAAACGTGACGTCATAACGGTAGGAAATTGTTGGAACTCTGCCTAACGGGCCCTTTGTCCATCCCCCAGATATGGAGGAATGATACTGGCAAAGAGAAATGGAAGCACTGGGAAAGGTTTGTCCCAGTGCCACTTCATCCAACAGAAATCTCACGTGGACTAGCATGAGCATGAACACGGGACTCCATGGTATGAATCGCGGCCCTTAATAGTGTTACACGCACTAGTACCAAGCACGTAGGACTACACTTATCTTGCACACATTTCCATTGTTGTGAAATACTCGTATAGTGAACACAAGACCACCCCACAAAAAGATTCTACACAGTCCACGTGCACAGATGGACATTTTGAAAATCAACAATCTGAAAAAAAAAAGAAGAGATAAGAAACTTTCTCAACAAATAACAACAACACCTGCATATAGGTGTAATATGTAATTCACAAAGTTTCTTAACCTTAAATTGCCATAAAAGATGAGAAATGAACACAATAGCTACAGTTAATGCGAATTTGCAACAATAATTTACAAAGATTTGAGGTGACTGTAAACAAGTGCATGGAGCTTAAATGTACATATATTTTTAACTCAAACATCTACTTCGAGTTCTAACATTTGCACAAGTCAGTCATTTCAAAATGATAAAAGGTTTTTACAATTTAATCTACTCTTTTATCTCATATGTTGAACAAAATATATAATGTATTGCCACTGATGATGGCTTCAAACACCTTTACTTACCATTTATCATAAATACATCAGCATTATCCTCCCAAGTGATCTTTTCCTTGAATGTTTTCTTACCAAAATGCAGTATTTCCCATTCCCCCTATGCATACTATAAGCCCTGCCCATGATAAAAAACATTTTTTATACTTGAATCCATGTATATAGTAAAACTTCTTCTACGGCTCTCCGGTCCGTATTTGGTCCATGGTCTCCTCAAACAGTTAAATGAATTAAACAATTTGCATATGCAAGTGTTTACATGTAACCACTGCAACCTGAAGCCCAATCAAAGGAGTCCAGAATGACGTAAATACTGAAATCAATAAAAAGTTACAGTGGGTTCAAAATGAGACGAAGTCAAACAATGTCTGATTATAGTCCCAATGAAAGACAATTAGTGTAGGTTCTTCACAGAGCATAAGAGTGCATTTTTATTGTTAATCACACTTGCAAAATGGATCCAGATAACGAAAGTTATGAAACAAACTTAACACGCTGCACTGCACACATTAACAAAAAAATAGAGAAGACAGGAAAAAAGACTTAAAAGAAAATAAAAAAAAACCTCATCCACACTTCCAGTAATTACAAACACAAAATTACTAATAACTTCCAGTGTTTCGGCTCTGATTAAATTACGTAATTAAATGCAGATTCTGAATATATATAATGAAGCCCTGATTCCACTGCAAACAGAACATTTGACAAAGATAAAAAATGAACATGTCTTGAATTATATGAAAAGCATATATTGCCGGCTTACTTTAAAAACCTTGCATGTCAGACTTTAAGCATTCAATAATATTTACATGTTTCCCT